TAGTTCAGGCTTCCTGCCCTTTTCTCTGTCTCATCTCTCTGTGATCCTTCCGTTTATTTGCCTTCTTATCTGGTCTTAAAGGGGGAAGGGGATCCCAGACTCAGGGGATGGGTACAGAGACCCAAGGAGTGGTAAGCCCTCCTCTTTAGAGAACGGTGTTTGTGGTCTCATGTGGCTGGGATCCAGGGTAGCTGCAGTCCACAGAGGCTGGGTGTGGGTCACACTGGAACCTAGAAAGACAGGTTCAGGCCAGATCACAAGGGCTGTTTTGAGCCCTGTCACCAACCCTAGGTTTAGGCAATAGAGAACCATTAAAGGTTTTTCACCTGGAGAGTGACATGATCAAACCTACATTTTAAAAAAGTAGTTACTGATCTCTGATCTCATGGACAATTGGTATGGCCCCTCAGAATCAAGCAGTCATAGTCTTCTCCCAACTTGAAGAAAAAATAAGGTTATTTTCTCAATTGTTGAGGTTTTTTTCTTTTGTCTTTTGTCTTTTTCCGTGTCCGGCAACGGATCGCAACCCTCAGTGTTGCCCCCGTACTGGACCAGGGACCGGCAACAGGATCGCAACCCTCGGTGTTGCTCCCGCGCCTCACTCAGCCAGTGAGCGGGAACCGGCCTGTATGAGGGATCCGAACCCTCGGGCGGGAGCGCCGCCGCGCTTCCCAAGCGGCGCACTATCCAGTGCGCCACCGGGCTGGCCCCTGCATTCAACTGTTTTAAGTGGCTTTTTTACCACTGAAAATCTGAAGAATTTCACTCACTTCTTTAAGCAGGGTGATTCTAGACTTCAAGAGTGTGATGGAATTTGTTTCCATAGCCTCTTCCTTTATACCTTGAGTCTATTTTGTAAACTTTTAGGTTCTTTTATCATCTTCTTTTTCACATCCCAAATGGCACTTGCCAATAAAAGCCAAGCTTATTCTAAAAGAAAGGAATCGAAGGTATTCCATAGAGTTCAGAGTTTAGAGAAGGAAATAGGTACAGAGATTATTACAAATAACATAATTATAATAAACAAGATATAAATGGAATGGCTAGAGAATTAAAGTTTTTACAGAGAAGGTGACACTGAAGAATGGTCTTTAAATACAAAAGTATATTTGTTAGACAAGACACATGCTCTGGTGACTAAGAGGAAATTCAAGGTAAATGGAGTGTACATGTCTGGTGGGAAATGGCAAGAGCTGTTTGGAATGGGGTAACTTAGTTGGGGCTAGAATATGACAGAATTCACTTGTACTTTTTCCCTAGAGAATGGGGAGCCATTCAAGGGTTAAACAGGAGGGAAATGCCAGATGTTTAGGTGGAAAAAAAGCAATCGCAGCAGTATCAACAAAAGATTAAAGGGGAGAAACAATTGTTTTTGCAATATTCTAGGCAAAAGGGTATCATACCTTCATTTAAGAGAGCAGCAATCGAAACATAGTACAGGAGCCCCATTAAAGGTATTACAGAGGTAAAGGAATCAGAATGTCTCAGTGACTGATTAGATGTAGAGGTGAGAGAGAGGGGAAGAATAAGGGAATGGCTCTGAGGCTTTTCTTGGAGGTGAGATTAAGGCTGGTACCAAAGATTGGGAATATAGTTCTGCTTGGACTAGAGACCAGACTCTGCTTGGATCCTGAATTAATTTACCACCCAGTGAGAGGCGATCAGGCAACTGCAGGCCTCTCCCACTCTGCAGAACAAGAGCTGTTATAGTAGGCATTGTAGAAGTTGAGGGTAAGTATGGCCTGTGGGCAAGGAGGTGAGAAACAGAGAGAAATGGCTATATTGAACAGAAATCTTTCATGCAATAATCCTGTCCAGTAAAGAATCATAAACCATACATCACTCTTGCCACTTCACCAAACCATGAAGTATTTTAATTGGGGTGGGGTGACAGTGGGACTAAATTTGAGCTGAGATGGATTTGTCCCATGCACTTCCTCATCACAAGCACTCTTGTTCTGATTCAATGACTAAGCTCTTTGAGTCTCAATTTCCTCATTAGTAAAACAGGGCTAATAACACTAATCTTTGTCTACTTCTCAGGGCTGCTGTCATGCTATAATGTAATAGTATAAATGAAAGTATTCTAAAATCCTTAATACATGATACCATGTGTTATTTTTGTACCTGGACTTTTCTGAAGATGGGAGATGCTGAAAACATAAATATGTTTTTAAAATTCAAATCTTGAAATTTAAATTCAAGACCTGAAAGAATGGCTGGGATGTGAACATTTATTTTACACAAAAAGAAAAATTTTCAATTTTATAAATCTATTAAATATGTTTTTAAAATATAAACTGATCTAATATAAACTAGTACCTAATTACTATTTATTGATATGATATAGGTTTTTAGAAAACATAACTGCTTCTATCCATTCTCAATATGGTTATGTTTTTATTTCACTAATATCAGCCATATTTCCTACATTCTTTAAATCAAAGCATTTAAACTGTATTTCTCACATTATCGATATGCAAGGTTTTTAAATGTAAACACCACAACTAAGACTTCTGTGATGTCCAAAGCAGATGTTGTCCATCTGCTAGAAAACTTAATCTAGCATAAAGCTTCAGTAGAAAGACTGAGTTTCTACGTTACTTTTAATTTTTGCATAAAGATAGTAAAGATAACACCATCCTGTCAGATAAAAGACAGCATACAAAGGCACTTGACCCTAACAGAGGCTAATACTGGCCTACTCATAAATTCATTTCTGTGTAGGTAAAGCCTCCAACAACCCTAACATGCACCCACAAAACCTTCCCTTCCCTGTTCTGAGTACCTCTGTGAAACACTTGGTCTTCCAAGATGACACTGCATCCTTCTTGACCAGGGACTTTCCTGCACAACTTCAGAACTTTCAAAGAGTATATTCTAGGGAGAGGAATAGGAAGAGAAAAAAATCAATAGATAATAAAACCCTAAGAAACAGCTGCCTCTGGGTAACAGGGTTATGGATCATGTTTTTCTTAGCTGCTGCACACTTCCTATACTGTTGAAATTTCCTACAATATGCATCCACTACCATGCAATTTAGTGAAAATGTTTTTCATTTATTTCCTAATAAACAAAAATCTGTTTTCTTTAAACTAGAAAAAACAAATTAAATCTTTACTTATGTATCCTGACTTCGACATGTTTACATTTTTCTTTTTAATGAGGGCTAGCATACATTTTTCAAAAAGTTGCTTTTACATATGTAAATATGGGAGGTGACAACTACAAGTACATAGGACCACATCTACATTGCTTGCTCTCTATCCCCAGCAGTCTTTAGTGTAAAATTCGATTGTTAGCCTGAGGTCATTCTCTCCCTATTCTATGGTAAGCAAAATTTTAGCCTCTATGATCTTAATCCTCTGGTGTTATGCCTATGAACATGTTATGTGATTTGGCAAAAGGAATTTTACTTATGGAATTAAAGTTGCTAACCACCTGACCATAAAATAGGGAGAATATCCTGTGTTATCCAGGTGGGCCCACCTTAGTCACATGGGTCCTTAAAATTGAAAGAGGAAGGCACAAGAGTCAGTCAGCCAGTCAGAGAGATGTGGTGGAAGAAGAGGAAAGAGAGATATAAAGCAGGAGCCCCAGTTGATGGCTTTGAAGATGAAAGGAGCCATGGGCCAGCAAATTCCAGAGCCTCTATGTGGCCTCTAGATGGTCTCTAGATACTGTAAACGACCCCCTAGCCAAGCATCAGAAAGGAAACAGAGACCTCAGTCCTACAGCAGAACGGAACTTAATTCTGTCAAAAACCTGAATGAGTCTGGAAGTACATTCTCTCCCATAGCCTAGCCCTATCAACACTTTGGTTTTCAGCATGTGTGACTTGAAGCAGAAAAAACAGCTAAGCCCATCAGACTTCTGATTTTCAGAACTGTAACATGAAAACTTTGTGTTAAGTCATTAAGCTTGTAGCAGTTTGTTATGGCAACAATAGAAAACTAATACAATGGCTAAAGGTAAAACAATGCACAAGACAAAAATGAGCCACGATGGTGTGAAATCTCCAGTGAGTCACAGGCAATCTTTTTCTATAACAGCTTTCTCTGTAACTATTAGTTGATGTGCAGAATATTAGCTTAATGATTGAACAGAAACAAAAATAGCTTTCAAATTAACCAGAGACTTTAATTTGCTTTTGTTGTGAATAAAGTGTGTAAGCAATCAGACAGGCTGCTTTTCTCTTTTGTGTTTGTTACCTGTGATTTTCATACAGTGCAAACATTAAGTAGAGAAGACCTGTAACCACAAAGTGCTGTGTACTTCAAGAAGACATCTTTTCCATACAGTTACTGAAAAACAATCCCCACTGATCATTTAACACCCCCCCCCCAAAACACATAACAAACAAAACTGAAATTTGAATCTATGGTTATTAGAACACAAAAGCACTGGAAGTCAGTTTTTTCCCCTCT